AAAAAAAACAACGAAAAGAGAAATGTTTAAAATATAATCTGTTTGTTGTCTACGATTGTATTATAATTATTAATAACGTGCATTAAAGTGCATTCTCGTTTTGGATAAGATTTCCTCGAGCTTTGCAACATTGCATCTCTTCAATCAGTCATTCAGTCGGTCAGTCAGTTTTGTTTTTTTTTTTTTGGATCAATCGTTGCGTTTAAATGGCCCGAAATGAATTTGACACTCACACGAATGTATTCACACTCGTCGAACGTTGGTTGGCTACTGCATCATAGTAGTAGGTGGGTAAATTGCATTCAGAGTAAATTTCGGTATCAGTTTTCCCGTTCGGAGCTTCGTTTCGTTACGAAATAGAGTTGGATAGATAGATAAAGATAGAAAGAGAAAGAGAACGAGAGAAAAAGAGAGAGAGAGAGAGAGAGAGATACGAGAGACATTTCGTTATCGTTTCACGATACGATAAAACAATTATATTTATGTTCCCCGTAAAACCGACTAGTCTATTCATTTTTTTGTATGTGTTTCTTTTTTTTTCTTCTTTTTTTTTTTTTTTATAACATACACGAATACACTACCACGATAGTTTCGTTTCATGAGGTTTCAACGTTCCAATTACTTGGTATATCCCCCGAACGGTATAACTATTTATTTATAACACAACAAGAGATCTCGTTTGTGTGTGTGTGTGTGTGTGTGAAAGAGTTAGTAAAAAAATAAATACAACCGAAAGAAAAGATACGTTTTCTTTGAAATAATCTAATATTAATAATACTCTGTATAATATATTATATAAAAAGAAAACGTATAAAATAAAAGTATACAACATACGATTAGTTGTGTGTATTTTTTTAAATTACAATGCATGTCAAACACAGGAGAATAATCAACATTTAATACAATGTAAGAATTTTGTACAAAATATTACATAAATAAATAATAACTGTATAAACATACGTATGTAACAATATATGTTCTGTGTATCGATAGATTAATCTTTTGGTCCTTTACGAATGAAGGAAGAGAAAGGAAAGAAAAGTAGTAGTTCTCATTCTATATCGGACTAGTATATACATACCTACACCTACACATACATATATATGTGTCAGAGATCAGGATACTACAAAAGCACCTACCGTGTTCATGGCTTTTTGTTCGATTCAAACGAATCCTACCTATGTGCTTCGTAAATGCCTCGTGAAAAGCACCGATCGTTCGTTTCCTACTCCCCCCTCTCTCCCTCTCCCTCCCTAGCACCCACCCTTCCCCCTACCACCTCCCAATTCGATATCCCTTTTGTCTTTTATCAAATGTACCAGGATTTATCTCGATGCCAATAGTATTTAGGTATGTACTGCTATAGTAGAATGATTGCATGCTAGCGTAATGGTATACAGGTGTACATTAAAGATGCATTAGTTTTCGATGGAGTATGTGTGTGTGTATGTGTATGTGTGCGAAGAGAACGATGATGGCACTCGACGGACGAGGCCGACGTTCCAATTTGATCCGTGGTGATATTCACCATAGAGAAGAACATAGATATATATATATATATATATATATATATATTTTGCATTAGGCTACGACTATGACGTCGACGACGACGACGACGACGACGATGAGAACGAAGCCACGATGTCCGGAGACCTTGTTATACAGGAAATATAATTACATAGTACGAACCCGTAAAGCTGTTATATATATATATATATGTATGCATGTACGTATGTATATATTAATATTACCTTCTACTTGTACGAATAATTAACCTACGTTCAAATGTATCCTTATAAGCGATACAAAATGACTGCAAATCATCTCCCATTTGCACCATATATATATATATATATTTAATATATTTGTACAATGTATAAAATTATAAAGATATTTTTAACATATTAATTATATTTAATAAAGATATTTTTTGTTTGAAATTATCTTTTTTCGGAAAGTATAAATATTTTGATTTGTGTGTGTTCAATCTCTCTCAGTATATTATATATTTATTCATTAATATGATATATTGGAAAAATAAATGATTATAGTATCTTGTTCATAATGAATTCAATTGATAGATCTTGTAAAGAGATACGAATATTTTGTATCGAAATATAATTGAATATCGAACAACAGTTCCATCGTATACGACAAATGTAAAAACCATGGGTATTAATTTTTGGCACGAATAAATTATATACTTATAAAATAAAATTTCTCCCTTATACAATAAAAATGAAGATAAATAATCAATAGATCTCATTTTGAAATTGCATTTGTTCAATATTATCTATTATATTATCGTACACATATATCGTATTCGTTTAATTGAAACATTGATATTATTTCGTTACAAATATTTAATAAGCCATAGAACAAATTATTCATACGCAAAATATTAATTGCCTCTTTTTCGTTATGCAATATTAAATAAAAGATATTTCATTATAAATACGTGAAAAATATTATGATATCGATGATGTTGAAAAATAAATGATTCACACACACACACATGTAAATAATTAATGAAATAGAAAACAAATTTCAAAAGATATCGAATGTGTGCGAATGAGGAATCATCATTCGTATCTTGTTTAGCATGATGATCGAGTTCCATTTTCATCAAAGTCGATAATCTACTATACCCATTGCCAGTTCGTTTGGCAAACTGCAAGCTTTAACGCGCCCGTTGCCATTTAGTAATTGAATGGTATATCTCCTTTTGCAAGGAGGCACACATTTAATAGTACAATACGCTCCATCAGTGAGATCTTCTTCCCTATGCTATTATCTCGGAATCCCGCAATACCGGTCTTTCTAAACGATACTCTACCAACTCTGCAGACTACTGAATATTCCATATAAAGTTGTTCTTAAATATTGAAGGCTACCACCATTTTCGGGGATAACAATATCCCAAATGGGTTTATATTATTCTATTTTCCGTTTCTTTTCTTCATACGTGTGTATATATACACGAATTTTTTTTTTTCCTAAAATCTACAAAAACAAATCTATTCATCCCGAATCTAATATATTTCCAAAATTATTATTATTTATATTTAATAATTTATATGTTTTTTCTTCACGAATTTTATTTGCAATCTATAATAATATAAATCAACGAATATCAATAATTGTAGATACGAATTTGAAATTGGTATTCGCGACGTTTGATAATTTTTCACAATTTATTTCCACTTTTACAAAAAAAAAAAAATATTATCGATTATCACAATGAGAAATATTATATATTATTATAGAACAAAAATTGTAACGATACATATTGCATAGCAGCAGATAATTAAATTAAGATTAATAAGAATCTCTCGATATAGTTCGGTATGCGACGTTCAATGTCCAGCGTTTTTTTTTTTTTTATGTAGAGAGGGTTCGATAAAATAAAATAAAATTAAAAAAATAAAAAAAGCTTCTCTTTTTTTTCCCCTTTTTATATCTTTTCGTTTAATGATATATCAAAACGTTGTGATCATCGTAAGAACATACACTTCTAGGTACAATTTTCATGTTAGTAACGATTTCGAGTAAGAACAAGATGAGACCTAACGTTTGAAAGATTATGCAGATTTTACGATCAATAATCAGTGTCGGTTCACTCTCACGAGCAAGAAAGAGGATCATATTACGTATATAACGAGATGCTGGTATATGCATTACCATAACCTTAAAGGTGGCTCTATTACGGCCGGTTATTACGAATAATCGCGTTAACTGCCTGCCGCGGACTGATTCTTCTCTTTCTCTCTCTCTCTCTCTCTCTTCTCTCTCTTTTATTTTACTTATTATTTTCCGATATTTCGTCGTTGTGTAAAAAAAAAAAATTAAAAAGAAGGAATAAGTATTGCTGTTCGGCGTACCCGATAGGTATATAAATTTTTCCTATAATTTATTGAACGTACCTATAGTGGTACTTAATTGCATCGATCGTTGCCATAATAATAATAATAATAATAATAATAATAATAATGATTGCGAATAAAAAATCATGATAAAATTTCAACGAACGTTATATTATTCGAAGCCAACCGAATGAGGAAAGAAAAAATGTGAACATATTGTATTTTTAATAAAAGGATATTACATACATCAAGGTGGATCATTGTAATCGGATTTTTTGGTTTGGTTAAATGTTATATGTAAAAAGAAAGAAAGGAAAAACTGGTTAAATCGTGATTTAAACAAAGATAAAAAAAGAAATCTCGTCATGCGTTTCGCGTCGTCTCGGAAGTGAAAGGAAATAGAGAAAGAGAGAGAGAGAGAATCAAGGGGGGAAAAAAAAAAGGAAACTTATCGTTATTTAACCCGTATGTGCGGTTGTTCCGATCTGACTTTCAACGAGTAAAACTCTTCTCTGTAGTTAAATACAACCTGTGCATATATATATAAAAAAAAAAAAGACGCGGAAACGTTTCGACGTTTTCCCAGGGAGTATTTTCTCTAGCGATAGCATTAAAAAAGTTTTCAAGGGGGGTTAACGACGACGATTCAACCCCTATGTCGAAAAAGTCAAAAATATTCACGCCCGTTCAACACCGACATTCACCATCAACCACCCCCAACCCCGTGTCTATGTGTTTGTGTGTTGAACTCTGACGCACTTTTCTCACTTTTCGCGTAGGTGGAAAACAACATTTTTCCCCGTAGAAAAAGAACCCACCTTTTAACCCTTCCTTTTTTTCCCCCCGTTAAAAATTTATCCCAAGTTTTATTTATTATACCTAATACGTTCTACGTATACACACAGTATACATCGAAATATATATATATATTATAAATTTTTTTGATAACATTTTTAATAGTAACATTTATTCGAAATAATTCTATAAGAAATTTGAGAAATAAATCTTCACAACAAACGAAACAAACTCGTAACACGTAAAATAAATAATCGCATCATATATGTATGTATATATATATATATATTTTGTTGTTTTTGTTTAAATATAATAAGGACAAAATAAAAAGCCATGACTTACTCTTATGCTTCGAACTGCTTTTCCATAAGCCTCTGAAGAACGACATCCCAGCGATATTTAACGTCGAACCAAAACTTCAACGCGATTCTTCTTCAACGAATCCGTATGACAATAACGTTTTTTCAATAACCAACTTCCTTTTCTAAGTATACTTTTTCAATTTTTTATATATACATATATATATATAATATATATGTATAATATAAAAAAAGAAAAAAAACTAAATTGGCTCGTTACGAAAGAGTCAAAACACTCGCGCGACAGTGATGGTAGTGATGATTGGTAGTGATGATGATAATGATGATAGGAAGAATAAGAAGAAGAAGAAGAAGAAAACTCAAAAGTAGTCGAATAAACACACACGCGTTTTTATCCGTTACCCCTCGAATTTTTATCGATTTTTTTTTATTTGGGTTCCCTTCGTATATTTTACAAATCTATCTCCTTTTATTAGGTTCCCCGACGTGACGAGTGAAAAAAAAATAACGCGTTGTTAGCCATTAAAATTAAAATATTATATCAAGACAAAGAATAAGAATAATAAGAAAAAGAGAAGAAAATGAAACAAAATTTCTTTGCGAGTTGGGTGTATGTGGGGGGGGGGGGAGTGGGAGGATTCAGGGTAAAAAAAATAATTAAAATTACTGAACGGGGTTTAAAAAAAAAATATGTAAGATTTCGTAAACCCGAATCGGTATAATAATACGTGTTGCCTTGAAGGCGGTACGCCACGATATGAGAAATTCGCAGCAGCAGCAGCAGCAGCAGCAGCAGTAACAGTAACAGCAGCAACAGCAGCAGCAGCAGCACGTCGTCGTCGTCCACTGGCGCGTCCTTCTCTGGCGCATCCAGTTTATTCCGCTCCCCTAACTGGTACATGCGCATATCTCGGCTCGCACACTTCCCAGAGATTCCGGTTCCGCTTCCTAACCGAATCCGGTCGAAAGGATAAAGATTACTTTTTTTTCTTTCTTTTTCACTATCTTTTACTTTTTTTTTTTTTCTCTCCTCGTTCTTCCGATTGTCTAACAAATGTTTATCCATCCCTTGCGTCAACTAAAACGAATTAATGTTAATGACAAATACACTCACGCGTGATTGTTTTTCTTTTTTTTTTTTTTTTTAATTTTTAGCATACAATTATATATGAGGTGGATAAATTAAAGTATTCAATTTTTGAATTTATATAGGTTTATATGAGTATTTTTAAAGTAGCCTAATATTTTGTTTTATTCATCGTAATAATATTATATCTAATCTGGATAAGTAATTTAATTATTTAATTGGATGTGTGTTATGCGTAAAAATATTTTACGAAAAAAATATGCAATATTCGAGATGTTTGATAAGATGTTATGTATAATTTTTGGATCAATTTTTTAATAGATTAATAATTCAATTAAAAATATGTAAATAAATGTTTATATTGGACATTGATTGGAGATAAATATTTGTTTACAAATTATATAGGTCAAATTATCGATTTATATAGGTCAGTAGTGCAAGTAAACGTTGACTAAAGCTTTTACTTGTCCCTTATAGATTTTAAGTACATATTCGCTCGTATGAATGAAACATTTGTGTGCTAACCGTGAGGATATGTTAAAATATTATTAGCTTATTCTCGACACACACACGTGTGTAACGAGAAAGAAATATTTTTCGACAAATTATATAAATATTTTTTTTAATTTTCTTTAATAATTTTTTCATTTTCCTTAAATTTACTTTTCTTAAGATTTTTACAAGTTAATATAATGTTCTAATATATATATATAACCACTTTGATTCTCATTCCTCTTAAATTACATTTAAACTGTATTTCACTGCTTTAATTACGCATTATAATATTATTATGATCATACTTAAATCGATTGAAAAAAAAAATATCGAAAAAAAATGATCGCTTATATGATATAAAAAAAAAACTCATTGAAAATCTTAACACCGAACTAAAGAACAATTTCAATAGTTAAAATCTCTCTTTCTCTCTCTCTCTCTCTCTCTCTCTCTCTCTCTCTCTCTCATAGTAATATTTTCCCTTTCTTATTTTCTTTTTTTCGTATAAATGAAAACTTATCTTCTATCCCATGGGGCAAAAGTTTTCTACGATAAAAGCATACTTTGCGGAAAATGCACTGCATCACACCGTGACTCGTTTTTCAGTATAACGCGCGTTATTAGAATACTTAAGGAGGGAGTTAGAACAAAATATCGTCTTTTCCTTGTAGCAACCTTCCCATACCCATACCCATACCTATACCCATACCCATACCCCGTTCTTCTACTTTACTCTCAACTAGGATCTTCTTCTATGGGAAGCTTTGCGAAGAAATTGATATGTAGACAGCGTTTTCCTTAACCCTCCCCCAACAACCCCCCGACCACCCTCCCGCCCCCTTGGTCGGAGACTTGTCGTGAGTGGAAAGCTTTACCACCTAATTTCATGGGGAGATGCCCTTCCTTCCGTAAACTTGCTAGTAAAGTCGAACTTGGACGGATAATCTCGTAGAAGTTAACGATCTCTGAGTAAGAGAGTGAATAACAGAGTGAAAGAGAAAAGGGAAGGAAAAAAAGGGTGGAAAGGGTAGGGGGAGGGGGAGGGGAAATTGTCTGATTCGATTTAACGGGACTTCTAGCTTCATTGGTCTCTCTCTCTCTCTCTCTCGCTCTATTTTTTTTTCTTTCTCTCTCTTTTTATTTTACCTCGAGTTTCAAGTTGGATATACGAAGGACCGTGAAAAGAAAAAAAAAAAAAAAGAAAGAAAAAAAAAAAATATGCAAACAACGTAAAGGAGCCGAGCGTCCGACATAATTCGATGCAATTATCGTCGATCCAATTACGAAAGAAGAAGAAGAAGAATAAGAAGAATAAGAATAAGAAAAATGAAAACGTTTGTATAAGTTCTTTTAAACGATCTATATCTACCTTTTACATCCTTAACTTTTTTCTATCTACCGACAGAAGGTGAATAAAAAATATAATTTGAAAGATTCAACGAACAGACAAGATTATTACAGATAATTATTATGACCGATAGTTTGAATATCTTTTGACTAAAAAAAAAAAAATCAAAGAAAAAAAAGATAATAGACTAAGACGTCTCAGGATGATGAATCTCAGCGTTTGTTTTATCTCTCCTTCACCCTTCGTTTATTATTCAACGAGTAGGTTAGGGGTAAGGGTAAGGGTAGGGGTAGCTAGTTTAGCATCGTTGAAGGAGTCGATGGTAATTTATCGGATCGCGACCCTTTAAACCGATAGGTAGACAGTACCATGACGAGAACGTCTTAAGGGTGAAAACGAAAGTCTAAAGTTCGATCATCGAAAGGCTCGATTATGCTCTCAATGTTTTAAGCATTTTCGATTGACTTTTAAACTTCGTCTACGTTGATTGTGACGATTGTGAAAATATAATAATATACAGGTTGGTCCATCAATTATCAAACACTTTAATATTTTTGTATATTTGTTATAGTATAGATAATTGTTACACATATAAAACTTTATATGGCATGAAGAGATACGTAAGGTAGTATAATTATTCAATGGGATTTTTTGGGTTTTTTTTTAACATTCTATATATATTGCTAAATTATTATTTATAATATACTGAAATATTAATAATTATTTTACAAATAAACGTAATTTTTATCGTTTCTTATAAGCATGATATCATTGATTTAATAAAATTGGATTATAGTTATTAGAAAATCACGAACAAATAGAAATATGTTGAATATTATATATATATTATTATTATTAATGTTAAATCTCTTTTTTTTATTCGTTTGTTTTTGTAATTTTTTATTCCAAAACTCCTGCTACTACTAAGTACTTCCACGTTCAATCCAGATGAAAATTTGTATAATTGATTCGTATGCATTTCTAGATGCAGAGACCCCAATTTCATGTTTTCCTTTTATACTATTTCTTTCTTTTGAATTTTTTCAAAGCCTCGTATATATATATATAGTAAATATTTCCGCAAGTTAAGCAGTTGAAATTTTTCGTTGGATTCGTGAAAAGCAAAGAATTATAGAAAATCTCATTTGGATTTATACCATAAAAGGGAAGTTCTTTTGGAAAAATACCAAGTACACGGGATATATTGATACTCTCTTTTTAATATTAATACAAATTTCTTTAAAAATATAAATCTTTCCCAAAAGGGGAGAATACGAAAATTGTAATAAAAATTTTCTTTGAAAAGACCAATATTTCCTTATCATTCAATTCGTTTTCTCACCGATTATTCACCGTGATCGAGTTACTCGAGATTCTCCAACTCACTCTCTCTCTCACTCTCTCTCTCTCTCTCTCTTTCTTTCTCTATCTCTATCTCTCTCCTATTTCACGTTAAAACGAAACTGTTCCGTTTACCGCTTGAACCTGAAAAGGTTCACGGAAGAAACTTCTCGTAAAAGTTAGCATACAACTCACTCACTCACTCTCGCTACGAAAGCAATTGCTAAGAAAAAAAAAAAAAAAAAAAAAAAAAAAAAAAAACCGAGAAAAATAAAATAATCCGAAATTCAAAGAACTTTTAATAATTACTCGCTAAATAAGAAATATAAAAAAAAAAAAAAAATATACAAAAAACAAAAATGTCTTATATCAATCATGAGTTTATCAACGTAATAATGGAAAATGATATTTTTCTAATATCTTAATTAGAATGAAAATATTGATAAATATTAATATAACACATTGATTTTACAGTGAAAGATTTTATTTTGAGAATTTGATCTGATCTGACAATAATTTGTTTTTTTACGATCAATATTACGAAACTTATAATTTTTCTCCAAATCTTTTTTTTTTTCTATTTATATTAATCTATCAATCGTACTCTCTTCAATGATACTCTTTGATACAAAAGGAATTTTCTGAAAAGTGATATTAAACTAGGCTGAAGTATGATAGCATTTCATCTCAAATAATATCATCAAAGTTAGGTCTCGACATCGACAAAGTTATAACAGACGAACGAATTTCGATCGAGTTTCTGAAACGTGAACGTCGCGTTGCATACAAACGCGTAAACTCGAGAACGTGAACGAACCATTTGAAGATATCTTATACCTGCGTGTTAGCTATAAACTTCGTTTGAAACGAACCTTCGTAACAGATATTCACGCGTGTAAACTTATGGGGATTATTTTTCTATTAATCGATCGATTAGATAACGATAAAAATAAAATCATGAAAATAGATTTAAAAAAATATCCTATCACCTTTATTTCGTTTATTTAGATAAATCTTTAGATGACCAATGTATACAGTTGAATCTGACCGAATAATCGTAGAGTTTACTACTTAACGTCTGACACGAAATAATAATACGATACTTATAGCTTTATTCTAAATAAAATAAGATCAGTTAAGTATCTTATGTGAAATATGAAATAACAGATTCGATAGGAATATTAACGATTTGTTTCGTATAATTAAAAAAAAAAAAAACAAAGAACATTGTTGAATTTCTAAACTGGCAAATTTAAAATGAAAATCTACTTATTTAATACATTCGTTTTCAA